TCTAATTTGTAATGCATGTGTAGGAGTTGCTTGGATCTAAAGGCAAAGCAAGTTTTTAAATACGTTCTTGGAGCTTGAGACTAAGCCAAAAAAACTCGGAAGCCCTAACAAACTGCATTCAAGGGTGGGGGAGTTCTCTGACACATAGAGCAGTAGCTTCTGGAATAATGCAAGGGAGTAAAATGCTGGAACTTGTCTATGCTTCAGTGCCTTTACAATTGTGCCTGCTTCTTGTCCTCAGCTACACACAACGAGTAAAAATCCTTCCTGACTCAAGATCGTCCTTCCAATGGCTGTATTTATAAAGATTTTTGGAGCTTCGCTGAAATCGTTATTGTGTAGTACATCTACTTGTATTTTCACTTTTGTAGTATTATCAGTTCTAATCTTGTCAAACACAGCCTGACAGCTTCTGATACGAGATGGTCTGACGAGGCTTTCCTTTGAGAAAGCTCTGCTTTCGAGTGGTTTTTAACCTTTTTGGAAAGCACTTCCGATTTTGTTTTACGCTTCATGATGAGCCGAGGTGTTTTTTCTTTTTTAAAGTCGTGAAGTTGGGGCCCCAATTCAGTTTCTTTTGAGATAGAAAGGACCTTTAATTCACCGTTCACTAGAAGCTGAACAAGCTGTGGACTTTTTCTTTTTTTTAAGTGCATTACCTTCGTCTTTTGTAACATTCCTTTAGTGTAGCAAGGTAGGAATGCAGCCTGGGTACAAATTGGAAGGCAAACCACCTTGATATATCTAAAGAGAAACTTGCTTGTATGTTCAACCTGCATAACGGTATTTTTACTGTTGTAATGATGTAAATTACCCAGAAATAGACTTGCAAACTTACCATAAAAGAGGTTCTTGAAAATGTTTATTTATATTGTCCTTTTTTACTGGAAGAAATATGCATATTCCATTGATATTGTATTTGAAGTGGTAAAGGATTCTTGTATACAGTTTTCTTTGGCTTTACGAAGCCTATTAAAAGACCGTCTGAAATGAACTCTGCTCCTGCCATTGACATTTCATTGCACAACACAGTCCTTGAAGACGAACAGTGTGTGTAGAAGATGCCAGAGGAGAGGAGAAGACTTAGCAGTAGTGTAAGAGCAAAGCAGACTGAACAGTTGCTAGAATTGAATCTTGACTCGGTCTTGACACGTGAATTCACCGGCGTGCTTCCACATAACAGTGTGTAGGGGCAAAGCTGGCAGCACGGCGTGCCTTTGGGTGTTGGAATGCTTGGTGACAGCTGAGCTGAGTGTTAGTGAGGAGAAGTGCTGTTTCCTTATAATGCTGAAGTGAAGAATTAGTCCTTTGGTGACTGGACTAGTTACTGGAGTGTTAATGGTAGGTAAATTGCCGTAATTAGCTAGCTTTGTCATTGCCTTACAAGTTCTAAGAATTCTTTGCTAGCATATGGAAACTGCAGTGTCCTTGGAGAAAAGAAGTGTTGTGCCTCCAACAGAAACCTCTGAGACGAAAGCTGCTCTCTTGGCTAGTTCATATGTGGAAATAGTCCTGTAATTCGAGGTAACTCCTTTTGCTCATGTCCGCATCCTTCCTCTTGTTGAGAGCTCATTTGAAAGCCTAATGTACTGTGAAATATTCCTCTGACAATTCTGGTCAGCCGATGGACAAATTTTAACCCATGCCGTATGCAACCTTTGGCTTGTGGCACAACTTCAGTTCCACAGATCAGAGTTGGGCATGCAGTCATGTCTTGCTAGTAGGAACGGAAGCAAGATGGGAAACCGAATTCCCTGACTTGATATGTGTTCATCTATTGAGAATCTTTCTAGACTTCATTAAGTTGCTCACTTTAATTGTAGCTTTCTTTGCCATCCTACTTGTTGCCATTAACTTTTTCCCATAGCCCACACTTCCTAAGCAGCCATGTCAAAGTGGTTAACTCTCTGCTTAGGGATCCAATGATACATTGGCTGGCGTATCAAAGGCATCAGCCAGCCCCGGAACAGTTTTCCCACACTGTGCTTCTGTGATGTGATGGGTTCAGCGAATGGCTTGTGAAACCCTCGTATCTGATGTGACCTGTGTTCGGGGGAGGGGGGTGGCGATGCGAAACTTCTCTGTTTGATACCATTATTAATGCATTTCTGCTTTGGCAGGCTGAAGAGAAGATGGACGCTGGGCTCGGAAGCTGGCTGCTGGGTTCTGAGGAAGGCAGTGGTGCCACCAGGGAAGCTGAACCCGAGCCTGAGTTTGCAAACCAGGTAACGGCCCGTCATCGCGGCCCCCGACCCTCAGTGGTGGCATTTCCTGAAGCAGAAATGAAGCCCTGTTTGTAATTTAAGAACAAGGAGCTGTGGGGGGGTGAAACTTGAGGATGAAAAGTGGACGGAACTCAGCCTTTAAAATGACTGTTTTCATTTGATTTCAGCAATGAACTGCTGTGGAGAGGACCTGAGGAGGAAGGACAGCGTTGAGCGGAGATGCTGAAGGGCTTTGAGCAGAGTTGTTGCTGATGTTTATAAATGGAACGAGCAGGAAAGCCAACTAAGCTAGAATAAAACATTGCAATGTGAAAAAAGAATCTTTGTAGTACTTCTGTGGGCAAACAATGCTAAAATCTGGCTAGATGAGTTCCCCTGTGTGTAGCACAGCTGAAGCTACAAAGAAGGGCTGTTCTGGGGAAAGGGGTTGGGGGTGGTTGGGGCCACCCGTCTGTGAGGTCATTGCAGTGGAGCAGCTGTGTCTGAAGGGAGAAATGGCTGCGATGGGTTTGCAAACCAGTGCTGGGGAGTTTTCAGATCTCAGTTTGAGGTGGAAGAGGGATGTGGTGGGATGTGTGAGCAGGAGGTGCTGCTGCGGGCTGACAGCTGTGCTTGGGGTGCTGGAAAGATGAAGCACCGACCGAGGGCAGTGTGTGCTGTGCAGAACCCTGGTCTGAGTCACCTTTTGGCGATCAGGAAATACATTCCAAAGGGTTTTTGGAACTCGATAGCACTTAAAGGGCGGGTAGATGACCAAATGGGAGCTGGTTGTGCCAGTCAGAGCTGGGAGATGCACTGCTGGGAATGGGGCACAGTGATGGCTGCTCAGAACTGAGTCCCAACAGCTGGCAAAGTCCTTGACAGCTCAGCATCCCGAGCGTGGGATGCAGTGCAAAGCAGTGCTGTGTGGATGTGAGGAGCTGCTGCAGTGCAAAGCAGTGCTGTGTGGCTGTGAGGAGCTGCTGCAGTGCAAAGCAGTGCTGTGTGGCTGTGAGGAGCTGCTGCAGTGCAAAGCAGTGCTGTGTGGATATGAGGAGCTGCTGCAGTGCAAAGCAGTGCTGTGGGGTCATGAGGAGCTGCTGCAGTGCAAAGCAGTGCTGTGTGGATGTGAGGAGCTGCTGCAGTGCAAAGCAGTGCTGTGTGGATATGAGGAGCTGCTGCAGTGCAAAGCAGTGCTGTGGGGTCATGAGGAGCTGCTGCAGTGCAAAGCAGTGCTGTGTGGCCATCAGGAGCTGCTGCAGGCTCGAAGCAAAGCCAAGCCTTGCTGGTAGGAGCAAATGGAAAACAGCCTGAGATAAAAAAAATCGTGGGCCACCAATGGGAGGGTGCGGTTTTGTGTGGCTTTTCTTTGACATTTGAATAGAACGGCCAATAAAAAAAGACGCTGCCGTCTCGTTAGCTGATGGTGCCTTTTATTTTTGAAGAGCTGCTGTGTTTTAACGGGGAGAAATGGCGCTGGGGGTGAAGCAGGGAGGGTGTTGTATTGGCAGAGGGCAAATGCAGGTTTGGTGCTGCGCTGCTGCTCTGCTCTCGTGTTAGAAGGACGCGTTTATTGCTTTACGCCGCTTTTTCTCTCTCTCTTTTTTAAACCTTTTTCCTATTATCCGAACGATCGGAATTAAAAAGCAGGAATTGTGGGGGGCGGGGGGGTTTCTGTGTGTAGCGATTCCTTCCTCTCACTTCTGATGGTTCCTGGAGGCGATATTAAATGCGGGACTGGGAGAGCGAAGAAAGCTTTGCTGATTTAAATGACAGCAGCCCGTGGCACTGAGAGCCACTCGCACCTCGCGGTGACACAAAGCGTTACCTGAACGACCCCGATGGTCCTCAATGGGATGCTTCAATGCGGCGGGAATCACCGCAGGCTGTTCGCTTTGAGGCGCTGCGTTTAATGATCCGCTGTTGGGTTGGGGCCGGCGCAGCTGAATCACAGAATGGCCAGGGTTGGAGGGGACCTCAAGGATGATGAATCTCCATCCCTGCCACACGCAGGGCCACCAACCTCCGCATTTCACAGCAGCCCAGGCTGCCCAGGGCCCCATCCAACCTGGCCTTGAACACCTCCAGGGATGGACGGGGCATCACAGCCTCTCTGGGCAGCTGTTCCAGCACCTCACCACTCTCATAGCAAAGAACTTCCCCCTGACATCCAATCCAAATCTCCTCTCCCTCAACTTCAAATCATTTCCCCTCGTCCTGCAGTTATCAAACCTTTCATAGAGTTGATTCCCCTCCTGTTTGTCGGCTCCCTTTAGGTACTGCAGGCTGCACTGAGGTCACCCTGCAGCCTTCTTTTCTCCAGGCTGAACAAGCCCAGCTCCCTCAGTCTTTGCAGTGGAGGTGCTGCACCCCCTTGATCATCTTTGTGGCTCCTCTGGACCCTCTCCAGCAGCTCTCTGTCTTTCTTGTACTGGGGGCTCCAGACCTGGATGCAGTGCTGCAGATGGGGCCTCACAAGAGCAGAGTAGAAAGGGACGATCACCTCCCTGTCCCTGCCGGCCTCTCCTCTTCTGATGGAGCCCAGGATCCCGTTTGCTTTCCGAGCTGGAAGGCACAGCTTCCCCCGGGTGGCTCAGCGGGCAGTCAGCGCTTCAGCCTGCCCCCCATCGGGGTCGGAACGGCGCTCATTTCCCCGACGGGAACCCTTCGTTGGGCGGCAGGAGACAGAACCGGGATGGGAAACATCGCGGCCACGGGGAACGGGGTTCGACGCTCCGTTTATCGGCGGGGCTCCCGGTGCGGAGCGGCGGAACGGCGCAGCCCCGGAACACCGCGCTCAGCTCCGCCCGCGCCCGGCCCCGCTGTGCGCGCACCTTCCTGCGCCGGGACCGCAGCTCCGTGCCGGCCATGCTGCTCCCGCAGCCCATCTGCGTTCTGTTGCTGCTCCTGCACGGCGGCCGCGCCGCGTCCCCCAGTAACGGCACGGAAACCCCGCGGGCGGAGGAAGGGAACGGGACGCGGACGGGCGCGGGGCTGCCGCCCGCATCGGGGCTGCCGGTGCTGCGGCGCGCCGTGTTTGTGGTCAGCGCTCTGTCGGTGCTGGCCGCGCTCTACTTTGTGCTGAGGACGTTCCGGTGAGTGCGGACCCCCCCCCCCGTGTCCACCCGGACCCCCCCGGTTCCCCTTCCGCTCCCTCCTTCCTCCGTCACGGCGCTGCATCGCAGCACTTCCCCATCCCGACACAACCGCCCCGCGCCGCCGTTAATGAACGCTAACAATTAAACCCCATCCGCTGTGCTTCGTCCCACCCGCAGCTCCCGGCCCGACGGACGCAGACGCGAACCGAGCGCGACTTTCAGGTGGAAGAAACCGCAGCGGAAGAAGTACGGTCTGCTGAGCAGCTCCGATGAACGCGTGGAGATGGCATCGCTGGACAGCGATGAGGACACCGTGTTTGAGACGCAGAACCTGCGGCGGTAAGCAGCATCCCCTGCTCCTCTTGTCCTCCGGGGAAGCGCCCACACTGCCACCAGAGGGACGCGGGGTGAACCTCAGCTTTACGTCACCTCCCTTCGCTGTCAGACCCTGAAGGCCCCGTGCCCATCTTGCTTCGTGCTTTTGGGACAGAGCCGCACGGCCCTGCAGGGCAGGAGGAGCTGCCGTGGCTCCCGGCTCGCTGCTGGACGCACATTGCTGCCTGCACGGCTGCCCTCATTCCCTGCATCACACAGCTTTGCTGCTCTGTAGGATTCCCCCTCGCAGCTGAGGATTGGTGTCCCGTGAGCACAGCAGTGCTGCTGGCTGTGCTCACGTTGTGCGTTTTCTTTCTTTTCAGATGATTTGGGACCAGTGGCACAACTGCACAGATCGAGCGAGGGGTGCGGAGTCATCCGCTGGGATCACCGACGCTCCAGTTTTAGTTTTGATAATAATTGCTTACAATGACTGCGAATTAACAGCACAAACTCTTTGGTCGCTGGGGAGGGCAAAGGGGACCAAAACTGTTTCCTTCACACGTCTTTTTTGGGGAGAGGTGGAGCTGCAGAGGACTCTGCGCTGAGTGCTGCGTGGGGTGACGCTCAGGAAGACGTAACAGAAGTGACTCTGGGGTGAACACTCTGCATTGAGAGCTGCACGTCTGTGCCCATGGCCTGCCTGGGGCTTTTGGGTGCTCCTCTGACTGTGGCAGCAGCTTGGCGGGCTCAGTTTTCCCTTCCGTGATGTCTGGTCGCTTCCCTGGATTGCTGTGTGCCATCGGCTGCACCCCGTGGTGGAGTTGGGGCAGCAGCATCCCTCAGATCAGACAGAGGAGTTTTGGGAGGGAGCAGCGAGCTGAAGGCGTTCTGGAAGCAGCAGGGTTGGCAGCGAGTGGATGATGGCATAAATCCCTGCGTGGGTTTACAAAACAAAGAGATGTTTGCAAACAAAAACGTACGAGTTGGTCTGTGGGGCCGCACAGGTGTTCTGCACCCCGAGGGTGGCCAGGAGAAACGCGTGTCCTCCCCGAGCTGCTGTGTAAGGGATGGGAGAGCCAGAGCCTCTCAGCTGCGGTTCTGGATCTGCTCAGACATCATCTCCCTTTGGAGATGCTGCTGTTCCCCAGTGGCTGTGCTCCAGCTGTGTCCCATCGGCTCAGCAGAAGGAACAGAAGTTGTGTTGGTGCTTGGGTTCCGTGCAGGGCTGAATGTGGCCGTTAGAGGGTCGTTGTTGGGGGGAATCTCAGCTGAAATGGTGGGAACTGCTTTCCAAGTGCTTTTGTTTGCAGCTTTCAGCCCCGAAGGGATGGGATGCAGCGGGGCGGGTGGTGCAGAGCCGGATCCCCCAGCCCCACACTGCAGTGCCTTTGTTGGGAGAATTGCCTGCAGGAGTTCCTCCAGCTGTAAGGCTTTGCCTTCATGGTGAGGATTGAAAATGCCTTTGGAGCAATGGAGTGATGGCTTCTAGCGTTGGGTTGGACCTCCTCTGTGGATAAGGGAGGAAGCCTTACTTGCCAAAAAGAGTGGAGCAGAGGGGTGCCTCCATGGAGCAGCAGTGACACACTTTGCTGCAGCCCCAGGGCTGCTGCAGTGCACGGTACAGATGAGAGCTGCTCCGAGGACAGAGCTGTAGCTGTGCTCTGCCTGATCACCATTTCTCCTGGAAAAATAAATGGGAGTGTTGCAGGAGAAGTGCAAAACCCGGGGCAGTCGTCATGGGGCCCTGAGGGTCCCATTGGAACAGCATCTTCTCATCCTTGTGCTGCGTCCCTGCAGTTACACCCAGCAGTTACTTCTGCAGCCTCAGTCACTGCATGCCGACATGCCAGCAGCCCAGCCCAGGTCTCTGAGCAGAGCTCAGAACTGGTAACAGTTGTTCAGGATGGATGTAAATACACAGATGCAAACGGACACACGTGTGCTCTGAGCCCACTAATCCAATGGGCCCGGAGCTGTTGGGACCAATGCAGTGGGGTGATGGTGGGAGCAGGGTGCCCTGCGGTGCTGCACACCATGGGGCTCCTGTGCACCACAAACAGCTGCTGCAGAGTTGGCTGGAAACAATCGCTTTTGTTTAAGCCCAAGCCTAATTTCAGAAGTTTACATAATTGCCTCTCTGATCTTCTTGGAGGGCTGCATCGAGTCCTCTGCTGTGGATATCGAGCTGCTAGGCAAATCGACTGGGTGTCTGCGGATGGTAATGAGATCGACTGAGAGCGAGATGAGCATCGGGGCTCTGTTGTTAATAACATCCCTCTGTTTTGTTTCGTTTGCACATGTGACTGGAATGGGATCCGCAGCATTAGAGCTCTGGAGATGGACCTGTGGTCTGAGCAGATTGCCAAGAAGTCAATAAAACAGCACTCGAGTGCATTGTGTTGGCTGTGCTCTCAGGAACGAGGAGCTGGGCTTTCACCCTCCTGCTCGAGTTGTTGATTTATTTTTAAATGGCAACCAGTCCCGTATCGATCGGTTGTTTTACTTTCTTTGTGTTTACAGCATCCCCCCCCCGTTGTATCCCGAGACAAACGTGTGTTGTTTCCATGTTGTTGCACTTCTCTCCATGCCCACTGCTCACCCCCCACTGGTGTTCTCAGGGTTTGTTCCAACCTGCTGAGGTCTCCTCTTTGTCCTCACCTTCACCTCATCCCTTGTCCGGCTCATCCCTGCAGGGCTGCCCCCATCCTCTCCATGGCAGCGTTGTGATTTTTGTGCTCCTGGTTGTGTCTCCCTGCATCCTCCTCCCCACCACGGCAGCACTGCTGGCCGCAGCATCGCACCGCATGGCACTGCAGCGGAGCGGAGGGCTTTGCTTTGCTCCAGGGTTGGGTGCTGTGCTGGAGGGCAGCGCTGGGGAACCCTGTAGATGGCACTCACAGACCAAGCATGGCGCTGGTGGGTACCAGCAGGCCGTGGGAGGCTGAAGGTGCATCCCAGCGCCTCGAGGAACAAACATCTTCCCAGCAGCTGCCCGGGGCTGGGGTGCGCCTCGCAGGGCTGCAGCTGTAGGAGCGGCGCTTTGGAGCTGTGTTGTGTGAGCAGAGGGCTGGGGAGCGCCCAGCTTTGTTTCGGCTGCGTTTCACCCAGCCCTGTCAGCACTTGTTTGCAGTGCCCTTGATGTTTCTGGCACGGCCCGACTTGAAAGACGCCCTGATTGGGTTGAACTCACCCGCAGGCTCCAGTTGCATGGGAACCACGCTGCAGGGTGAGGGCGCGTCTGGGCAGAGCAGCGCGTCCTGGGCTGGGCCTGGCTTCACCCAGCAGGACCACAGCCTGCCCCCATCGCCCAGCAGGACCACAGCCTGCCCCCATCGCCCAGCAGGACCACAGCCTGCCCCCATCGCCCAGCAGGACCACAGCCTGCCCCCATCGCCCAGCAGGACCACAGCCTGCCCCCATCGCCCAGCAGGACCACAGCCTGCCCCCATCGCCCAGCAGGACCACAGCCTGCCCCCATCGCCCAGCAGGACCACAGCCTGCCCCCATCGCCCAGCAGGACCACAGCCTGCCCCCATCGCCCAGCAGGACCACAGCCTGCCCCCATCGCCCAGCAGGACCACAGCCTGCCCCCATCGCCCAGCAGGACCACAGCCTGCCCCCATCGCCCAGCAGGACCACAGCCTGCCCCCATCGCCCAGCAGGACCACAGCCTGCCCCCATCGCCCAGCAGGACCACAGCCTGCCCCCATCGCCCAGCAGGACCACAGCCTGCCCCCATCGCCCAGCAGGACCACAGCCTGCCCCCATCGCCCAGCAGGACCACAGCCTGCCCCCATCGCCCAGCAGGACCACAGCCTGCCCCCATCGCCCAGCAGGACCACAGCCTGCCCCCATCACCCAGCAGGACCACAGCCTGCCCCCATCACCCAGCAGGACCACAGCCTGCCCCCATCACCCAGCAGGGCCACAGCCTGCCCTCATCACCCAGCAGGACCACAGCCTGCCTCCATCACCCAGCAGGACCACAGCCTGCCCCCATCACCCAGCAGGACCACAGCCTGCCCCCATCACCCAGCAGGACCACAGCCTGCCCCCGTCGCCCAGCAGGACCACAGCCTGCCCCCGTCGCCCAGCAGGACCACAGCCTGCCCCCGTCGCCCAGCAGGACCACAGCCTGCCCCTGTCACCCAGCAGGACCACAGCCTGCCCCCCTCGCCCAGCAGGACCACAGCCTGCTCCCATCACCCAGCAGGACCACAGCCTGCCCCTGTCACCCAGCAGGACCACAGCCTGCCCCCATCACCCAGCAGGACCACAGCCTGCTCCCATCACCCAGCAGGACCACAGCCTGCCCCCATCGCCCAGCAGGACCACAGCCTGCTCCCATCACCCAGCAGGACCACAGCCTGCCCCCAGCACCCAGCAGGACCACAGCCTGCCCCCATCACCCAGCAGGACCACAGCCTGCTCCCAGCACTACTCCCAGCCCTGTGCCTGCAGTGTTGCTCAGCCCGGTGCCAGCCCAGTCCTGCTGCTGCTGCACCCCTTGATGCACACACAGCTCTCTCTGGGAGCACGTTGTGCAAAACAAAGCGTGGTTCTTAACAAACTTGCAGCTAGGCAGGACCTGCCGTAGCTTTGAGCCCTGATCTGCGTGCAATAAGCTGTGATGGGTCCAAACCCAGTGCCCCCCTTTATCTCCATAGCTGTGAGGGGAGTAGCCCCAATTAACACTAATGGCTGTGACCTGTGCGTGCTGGATTTGCTGCATGTGTGTTCACACTCAGCACTGCTTCCCGTCCCCTGCAATCAGCTGGGGCTGGCACTGCTGGGATTCTGCTCACAGACACGAGCTGGCAGCGTGAAGCTGCTCTGAATTTATTTCAAACTCGAGTTAAAGTGCTCTTGACGCTTCGGATGCAAATTTCCCTCCTTGAAATGGGAGCGGAGCCGCGCCGGGTGCCGGCGAGCTCTTTTCATTTCGCTCTCCCATTTACTGTCGCTGCTGCGCGGTTCCTTACAGCCACGCTCGTGGTGCTTTGCCCCCGGGGGGGGACAGAGAGGCCCCAGATCTGTGTGTGTGAGGAGCGGTGCGGGTGTGGGGCCCGCAGTGCTTGGCCAAACGAAGGGTTCCTTATGCCAGAGCTGCTCCAAAACCTCTCCGTACATCCGGAGACCACAAAGCGTTCGGGATCCAGCTGCAGCCCACCTCTACGGCAGTTCTGCTCCACTCTGCAGAACTCCTCTGGATCTTTCTGCGTAGAAGAAACGAGCTTTGCTCGGTTGGCTCTGCGTCTCCATCCTTCTTTTGATCTTTATTTTCCCCTCCACGTGACAGAAAGGTGAATGGAAGTGGCTCCCCATCCACAGACGGCGCTCCATCAACAAGCATCGCCTGTTTTTGTTATTCTGATCTTCCAGGGGGGCTTTGCAGAGGGGGGCACAGAGGAGCGTCTGCTTTTCAAGTTACACCAGGGAATAAAAGTATAAAGGAAAGGAATGATCACAACGGCGGCAGCAACAAAACGATCCTTTGTTTGCTTATTTATTAATTTAAGCGAGCCGGCGCTAATTGGAGGAGGAACCCACGCAGCAGCGGCTTCTTTTTTTTGCCTTCTAAGGCTGAGAGGACATGAAAGGGGCTCCATTCTTGTGCTGATGTGTGGCCATGCAAAGCTGCGCCCGGTGTCACACAGGAGATGGGCAGCTCGTGTGCTGCGCTTCTCCTCTCTGCGTCATCAGATCAAAGCGGGGCGCTGGGGGGTCGGAGGGGGGGTTGGGGGGAGGATGGGGCTGCAGCGCCCACCTGTGTGAAGCTGCAGGTTGGGACCTGTGGGATCCCAGCAGGGCCGGGACACCCCTGCCTGGCAGGAATTACCGGTGGTGTTAATTAGCATCCGAAACACGTCGGGGCCGATTGCTGGGGCACAGCGCCCGATTCCCAGGAAACCTTTGGCTCCTGTTCGCGATTCGGGTCGTGGCTGTGAACCAACCGTGGTGGCACTGAATGTGGC